CTTCCATTTTAACGATGTTGACAGAGGTGTTAACAACATCGCTTCGGCTTCCTACTTGTAAGGCAGCGCCTTGCTTGGCGGCCAACTCCCTGTCACGAGCGATCTTGCAGGCACCTTCAAACGTTAAGTCATCCGCCGCAAACAGAGCTCTTCGAGTTTCCTCACACCGGATACCTGCCACTAATTTGTCACGGAGCGCATCCTGAAGGAATTCTTCAAAAGTGCACTTTCGAGCGAGGTGTTTCAACTCGACAATGAAGTCCTCCACATTCACGTGGTCTAATTGGACCCGCCGGTTGAATTTGCACCTCTCGTCTATGACTGAAGTCTTTGGGCTCTAGTGATTCTTTAAAAGAGCCTTGACTTCTTCGTACGTCTTTTGTCCTGGAAGTGCGGGAACTACTAAGTTTTTCAGTACTTCGTACGCTTCTGCCCCAATTAGTGTTAAAAACACGGATAGTTTTTTCGCTGCAGCTATTTCGTTTGCGTTGACGAAAGGCTCAAAGCGTTTCAGGTAAGATTCAAAGTTCGGGATCTATGGGTCGTACTCGTCGAGTCTGCTTAGTCGCTACATGACTTCGATCGGCACAAGAAACGTCCAAGAGGGTACTTATCATCTTGTCGCTGCTTTTCCGGACGTGTGTTCGAATTCCACTGCTGACGTCTGGTCCCCGGCCGCTTTCTCTGAACGTTGACGGCTTCCCATTACCTGCTGTCGCTTTCCTTACGCGACGCTTGGCAGACCAGTGCAGGCGGATCCCATTCACGTCGCTAATGTAATAACCACGACGAAGCACGACGATCGAAACCAGAAGAACATTTATGGCGTCCAGCTCGTTCTTAGGGCTTACAAAGTGATGATGCCTCGTGCGCGTGACGAACGCAGCCCATGTTGCGAGCGTGATGTCACAGCCATTCGCGCTACTCGCTCAGCGCTTGGTTCTCGCGCTGCAACAAATTCGAACCGATATTTTATTCAAAATTTATGAGTGATTTTTTGAGAATTTCAATTGGAAAAATGGGACCAATTTCCGCTTGTTTTCGGCTTCTGACGGCATTGAGCTTCATGCCTGTAAGAGCTTCGTCGGCCGCCATTTTCCCATTGACTTGTTTAGAAAATAACTTAAACATTTTGAAAAAGATAATGGTTAGGGCTGAAACTTTGGCATCTTGTCCGGGCGTAGAGCGCTACATTTGGATGAAAAATGAACATTTGGCGATGCGTGGTTTGTTTTTTGCTGCCGGAGAAACATTGTAATTTTTTTTTGGAGGGATTCCATATAGATTTTACTCTTTACTGGCACCGCACTATTTTTTTTTACCCCGGGATAAATTTAAGTTTAAGATGTCATACTGCATGGCATAACATATATTTGTAAATGTATTTTACGATGATCAAATACTCTCGTTCTGCTTCTATCTTGTACTTACATACGTTTCTAAAAAGTGTAGTTAGATTTCTAATGAAATCCACTTTTGGCGAATTATTCTGTATTTGTATTTCAATACATTTCTTAAAGTAGTTTTCCATTAATGCTGATTATTAAAAAAATATTACTTAGAAAAAATTAATTAGCCAAGTACACCGAACGTTAGTAATTTTCACAAATAGGCATTTTGGCAGATGTCAATACAACATTCAGCTTTTTCTGTACGATACGTACTTTCCGCAGAAACAATTTGTCGAGGTTCCCAAAAAAAAAAACCTGCACATATAAAAAAATATCGTAAGGTTGCAGGCGAGCTGGTGAATATTAACCATGTTGAATTAACGTGAGACTGGGGTAGAGAAGAAACATGAAAACGTAGAAGCGACAGAAAATAGACAGGACGACGTCTCATAGACGTCGTCCTGTCTATTTTCTGTCGCTTCTACGTTTTGATGTTTCTTCTCTACCCCAGTCTCAGGTTAATTCAACATGGCTGTACATATCCTTTTTCTCAAAGGGAAACTATTTATTCATAGTGCGCTACAATATCAGGTTACATAACAAATATATACTCCATAAATAAGATAGATGCCGTATCAGTTTTACGTATGGCATTATTGATATTAATAAATGTCTAGGACAAATAATTGAAAGCTGTTTACAACTCCCTGTAACGCCGAATTAGAGAGCAGCTCTTAAGGAGGAGGAGGGAAAAGTACGGAGAGGAGGCTATGCCGCTCTTCCTCTCCTGCTCTCCTGCCATTTAGATGAGAAATTTCCGCTAAATTTAGAGGGGGAATTTTCCGCTAGATCTAGTGGGGAAAGTTTTCCGCTAGATTTAGTGTGGAATTCTTTCCGCTAGATTTAGCGGGAAAATTTTTCCGCTAGGTTTAGCGGGGAAATTTTTCCGCTAGATTAAGCGATGAAACTTTTTCCGCTACATTTCGCGGGGAAATGATTCCGCTAGATTTAGCGAGGAAATTTTTCCGCTAGATTTAGCGGGAAACGTTATCCGCTAAATTTAGCGGGGAAGCTTTTTCCGCTAGATTTAGCGGGGAAATTTTTTGCGCTCGATTTAGCGGGAAAATTTTTCCACTAAATTTAGCGGGGAAATTTTTTCCACCAGATTTAGCGGGAAATGTTTCCTTGAAATTTAGCGGGGAAACTTTTTTCGCTAGATTTAGCGGGGACAAGTTTCTGCTAAATTTAGCGGGGAAATTTACCCATAATGCACCGCGCGGTTACGCCGACGGTGACGGCGACGGCAACGCCGACGCCGCTCAAGCCGGAAACGGGCGCCTGAGAGCTGCGCTCTAAAACATAATAGAACATAAAGGCAGGCACATCTACCTTTAAAGTCTATAATGCATAAAATGCTGTGAAACACCGTGGGAGCAACATCGCCTACGGATATCTAGGAGGTGTTGCTCAGAGGAGGAAGGGGTGGGAAGAGAAGAGTAGTGGGAAGGGAGGAGAGTGGTGGGGTGGGTTGAGCGAGTTGGTGTGCCGCGTGACGTACATTCTCCCGCTACACTTAGCGCGGAAACTGAATGGTTGCATACGTCACGTGACGTCAATTTTTGTCGCTAAATTTAGCGGGGAAACTGGATTAGCGTCTAGAACACAAGAGGTGAATTTTTCCGATAAATTTAGCGGGCAGGTGATATGGTGTATAGATATAACGACGTCAACTTAGCGGGAAAGCTGATATGGTGTATAGATATAACGACGTCAACTTAGCGGGAAAGCTGAATTGAAGTGTTGGCCACAACGTGTGAATTTAGCGGGGAAACTTACTTGACTTATAGGTCACGTGCCGTCAAATTGAATAGTTTTATACGTCACTGGACGCCACTTTCCCCTCTAAATTTAGCGGAAAATGCACGGACGGACGGATGAACACACGAAAACAATTGTAGGATTGGGGGTAGCATAAGACAAATTCATGCCTACAAAAATGTACTACAACATATTTTGCGCCATGAAAAGTGTGGAATCAATAAGTACCGCATTACGATTTTAAGCTCACCAGGAACAAAATGCCGAAACACTGCTTTCAATAATAAATTTCGAAGAAGGGTAACTTGCTTAAAATGTCAAGACCAGACAGTGATGTCCGGGGAGGATGAGACTTTTTATAATTATAAAAGTTACAAATAACAACACCGATAAAAAGAAAATCTCTATGCCTGCACTTGTAGCATCATTAAGCGAAGCTATCGAATTTAAGAAATCTCGCAATTTTATATAGAAGTTGTATCGATATTGTGTCATGCAGTCAGGGATCATCACAGTCTAGCATTAAGTGTGAACGCGATGACAAAGGTAAATTAATATAAAAAATTGCTGTTTATCTTGTAAAATTCCCGTCAAATGATTGTCAAGAAACATCTTACAGAGTAGCCGAAACTAACTGACGTATAAACAAATATGTATTCTCAAACATACAGTGCGCTTCAAAGATTAATAATATTTGTAAAGAAGCGTATTTCAAATAAAGAAATGATTCCCTCGAAATAGTGCTATCAACCGCGTCAGATTATGATAGTAAACTGATAATTCACGAATTACTAACCCTAAACTTACTACTTAACTTCTCAAATATTCGCAATAGCTTCCCATTTCAAATATAAATCTGTTTTCTGTCTCCAAAATACGCCGTAGTTGATGTTCGAATTCAGACAATTCAATTCTGTTCCACGCTGTTCTCTGGCATAATTAGTCTGCATAAACTTTAGAATACGCCACACCAAAACTAAGGGGAAATTAGTGTCGATAATTCCGTGCCCGAGGGGACAGCAAGTTCTGACACGCAGTTCCGACGGCCATGTGGCCCTCGTATAAGATATATGCTCGCGACGACTGGTTTCTCAAGCCCGCTGCGGAAGTTGTGTTTGCTTCCGGGTGGAACTTTCGCTTCTCTCTTCAGTTCAAGTGTTTGTATCTTAGCTTCCTTGCGTAATACTTTCCCAGCATAATTCCGTTTTCTAAATTATAACTACATTTATGCCATGTTTCTACCGCTGGCGACATGGCTTAATCTTTTGATTGAGTTTAATATGCTGATTTGTTGATGTTCGGAAATAATTATTTAATTTTTTCTTTACACTCCTTGTGCGAAGCTCGCCATAACCAATAGAGTTATCTCGATGAAAATAATTATTTTTATTTCGGGAAGTCCTCTATTTAAAATATTCTCAATCGCCGATGAAACACCCCGTCTTTTAAACAAATGCAGTATATGTAATACTAAAAAGTGCCCACTTAGAACACAACTCAAAACAATTTCTTTGATTTGAGCTCTGGCATATGAATTTTACGTATTTAAATAAAAGATTATAAATAAAGCAAACTATTTTCTTAATTACATTCAACTGGATATCAAAGAGAAACGCTGCCTTATTATGAACGCAATCCTGCTTTCATAAAAAGTTGTGCATTCAGGATTCAGTATATGCAAGATGCGTTCATTCGCTAGTTCTCTTCTATGTTCGATAAGCCTCTGAACTTGTTAATTACAATGCTGAAACCCAGAATTGTATTGTGGATATACTATAAAGTTGAACTCACCTTCAGGACCAAATATGGTGGCGAGAGTTTTGGCAATATGTATTGCTAAAGTTCCAAAATTTGCTGCACTAAATGTAATAAAAAATACTGCATTTAGTGGACAATTGAAAACGTAATTTAAATTTTTTAAGGCAATCTTTCAGGCAAATGATGCTACGGTAATATTGATCTAAACTGATCACTGTTTTACTATATCCTGCCTTTTAATTTGAAGTACCCTCCTCATCTTTCATTCATACTTATGGGGAGAGAACCGTTGACAGTTTCATGGAATAAATAAAGAAAAGCAAAGAGAACAAGAAAGAATTGCAATAACATATCATAGTTATTAAAAAAAGCTTGAACTTTTTGGAGGCACTAACATTGTTCCTTCATGTGTGGCTTCACTGACCGGAAACAAAGCTAGAACGCTACCCACTGTGCCGCTAGTAAGAAGTGATGCCTCCTTGATTTTATCTTTTTAATTTTGTACGTTTATTTTGTGACATATTTGAAACTTCTTACGTACGAAGGAGGACCCCGAAAACCAAACTTATTTTTATAAAATTGCATAGTTATTTTTTCAAATCCACAATTCAGTCAGCTTTAAAGACTCGCCATCTGATGCAATGCGCTGCTTGAGACGTTTTTCCCAATGCTTAAAACAGCCGTAAGCTCGGCAAACTTTAAGATTTTCAGTGCTTTTGCCGTTTTTTATTTAACCGTTTCTACATCACCAAATATTTTCACTGTGAGAAGATAAAGCTTAACCTGGGGAAAAGAAAGTCGCACTGGGCGAGGCCGGGTAAACAGGTATAGGGTGAGGTGCCGGAAACATGCCGTCTTTGCTCAAAAATTGCTGAACTCTCAACGCGGTGTGCGCTGGAGCGTTGTCATGGTGGAGAACGGAACTCCTATTTGCCACGGCTCTGAGCGTCTTTTTTTTTAACAAATCGAAACACAATTTTCTCAAAACTTCTAGACAAAAGTCTTCGTCGATCGCTTGACCGGCATAAAAGATGCTGAGTGTGTATCGTTCGGCGCTCTGTTCACAAGTCAGACCGAGGCAGCCAGCTCCGATGATCAAAAAGCACGTAGTCCTTTATTGCCACTGCTTATATAACCGTTTACACACAAATAAGGGAGGGGGCGGTGCTGACGGCATGGGGGCAGCACTGCCGCCATGACAGGACAGGGCAGCATAAGTTGGCACGATACATCTCCCTTTGTTTAGGGAAAGAAGAAATAATAAAAACAAGAACACCAAATTTTAACTAATTTGCTCAAAGTTTCTGTTGTACTCCAAACGTCTGGGAGCAACAGTTTCTCGCGTGGATCTTCTGGGCACTGGAGTTATGTTAGATGTTCCTGGCGACCTTGGATGAAGCTGTATTTCTGCTTCGGCGTCCCCCGCGTCATCACCATCATCGCTGTCACCTGATGACTCGTTGCTAGTTTCTTCCGACGTAGCCAGGAGATGTTGACGATTCCGCCTCAGAATCTTTCCATTTTCTGTTGCCACTTGGTACGACCTGGGCGCGACAGCTCCCATCACCCTAGCCTTTCGAGACCAGACCTTGCCTCTGACTCTTACGACCTGCCCCGGTTGGAGAGGGTCCAGCCGTCGTCCTGCTGTTTCCGGTTGGCGATTCTTTTTGACGGGATATTTCGGCTGTTGGCTGGAGTCCGGGAGCCGCGTACGCAGGCGCCTTCCCTGCAGCAGTTCTCCTGGAGCACGGCCATTTTCTAAGGGTGAGGAGCGGTAATTAAGTAAACCCAACCAAAAATCTTCGTGTGCATCCCTTGTTTTTTTGTTAAGAGCCTCTTAATGATCTATACGCCCTTTTCTGCGAGGCCATTAGAACGCGGAAACTCCGGGATAGAAGTGATGTGCTTCAACTCGTACTGTTTGGCGAATGCCGCGAAGTCACGGGACGAGAATTGCGGCCCGTTGTCAGAGCAGACTTCTACTGGTATCCCATATCTTGCCAAAATGACCCCCAGTTTGTCGATTACGTTTCTTGCAGACGTATCGGTCAGCTTTTCCACCTCTGGGAAATTTGAGTGCGAGTCAAATACGGCGAGATAAGTACTTCCCGCATATTGAAAGAGATCAATTCCTACCCTGTACCAAGGTTGATCTGGGGTTTTCGCATCAAAAGAGGTTCACTCGGCTGCCTGTAGGCATACTTTTTGCAAATTGCGCATTTGCTTACAATAGATTCAATGTCTGCATTCAAAGCCGGCCAGAAAACCAAACACCTTGCCCTAGCCTTGCATTTGTTGACACCGAAATGCCCTTCGTGAATGCGCCGCAGCGTTTCCGGACGTAGTTTCTTCGGAACAACTACTTTGCATCCTTTCAGCAAAATTCCTTCTAAAACAGAAAGCTCAGAAGTGAACGGTTTCAGTTCCCCTTCGCTGTTTCTGTTAAAAGATATGTTTTCCACAACTGCTTGCAACCCAGGGTCGTTGTTTGTTTCACGCGCGAAAAGCAGTTTTGTTTCATCACTCACTAGTGATGCCAGAATGCCGTCCGCATGGACCTGCACGTCGGTGAAACCGGCCGTGTCCCCCGACGCAGCAGACGTCGCCCTTGAAAGCATGTCAGCCAGGACCAGGTCTTTACCTGGAATGAACTGTAGTACATAATCGTAGATCAGTAGCCGAAGAAAAAAACGCTCTAGTCTTGGTGGTATTGCACCAATGTCCTTTGTTGAAATGGCAATCAGTGGTTTGTGAGCAGTTTCTATTAAAACCCACAGTCCATAGTCAAAGTGATGGAATTTTTCACAGCCATACGTAATCCCCGTGGCCTCTTTTTCTATCTGTGAATAACGCTTTTCTGCGTCGGCCATTACCCTTGAAGCGTAAGCGACCGGTGGCCAGTCACTGCCATGACGCTGCAGCAGCGCAGATTCCAGACAATCCCGTGAGGCATCTGACGTTATTTTTGTTTCCTTGGCTGGATCGAAAATTGCCAGTAAGGATTGGCTACCGAGGGCTTCGCAGATTGTGTTCCATTCTTGCGCGTGATTTTCCGTCCACTCGAACACAGTGTTTTGCCGAATTAGGTCTCGAAGAAGCTTTGTTCTCTCCGTCAACGCGGGCAAATATTTCCCAAAATAGTTCATGACTCCGAGCATGCGTTGTACCGCGAGCTTATCGGCAGGTACTGGCATGTCGCGTAAACAGCTTACTAATGTGGGAATCGGACGGATTTCATTTTTGCCAATGACATCGCCCAAGAAAGTTATCTCTTGTACACCGAACTTGCACTTTTTCAAGTTGAATGTTAAACCGGCAGGTTGTACTTCGTACAGCGTGGCTTTAAGGCGCTCATTATGTTCTCGTTTAGACGATCCCCAGACCAAAATATCGTCTACGCAAACCCTTACACCTGGCAAGGTATCAAATATTTCGCTCAACGTTTTCTGGAAGACTTCCGATGCTGAGGAAATACCAAAGGGAAGACGAAGGAAACGGTAGCGACCGAACGGGATGCCAAACGTGCATATCTTTGACGTCGCTTCGTCTAACGGAATCTGGTGAAATCCCGAGTTGGCATCCAGTTTTAGGGATGCGTTAACATTTCTCGGGTCCATGCATATCCTGAGGCTGCCGTCACTTTTCTTTACCAGAACAAGAGGCTTACCCAGTCTGTGGGCTCATCCACTTTCCGGATGATGCCCGATGCCTCCATGCGCCGTAGTTCGTCCCGTAGAGGCTCCCGTAGCGTCAAGGGCACCCGACGAGCAGGCTGGACCACTGGAATCGCGTCGTCACGTAGCACCATCCGGTACACTCGTTTTACACACCCCGTGCCTTGAAACAGTTAGCGGAATTCTTCTAGAATGGGCGCAACGTTCTCTTCCGTTACAGCGTCCACCGCTCGCGATACTAGTCCCAGACACTAGCTCGCTTGCGGCTTCGTTTAACGACGAAGAAATCGATTTGGCAGTGACGCTTGTTGATGATCACCTCCTGCGTTACGACACTGATGTGTTTAATGACATTTCCGCTGTATGAGCGAAGAATGGCGTTGCTTGGCATTACGACGGGCCTTGTCCGGAACCTGTTATACACAGAGAGAGGCAGTACATTGGCTTGTGACCCCGTGTCTACTTTCAGCGAAACTTGTTGTTCGGACACTTGGACCCGTTCTTTCTTGCTGCCACAAACGCTCAAGTCCAAGATGTCGAAATCCCCGTCATCATGGTGCACCTCACCGACATCACGTTTCCTGCAATAGGCTGCGAAGTGGTTCCTTCCTTGACAGGCGCGACAAATTTTCCCGAACGTGGGACATTTCCGCGGTTCATGTTTCCTGTTGCACTTGGGGCACCGATTGGTGGCTCTCGAACCCTCCGCATGGCGCCGGTAGCCTCTTGTGGTGGAGTCCAGTGTTTGTTCGGGAGCGTGCCACGCTTTATTTTGTTTGTTGGCGACTTCTGCGGACTTGCAAAGTTGTTATGCTCTTTGGAGCGTGAAATCTCTCTCCCTCAGGATTTTCTCGCGCAGCTTCTTGTTTCTAGTGCCAAATACCACTTGGTCACGAATCATGGAATCTGAGAATTCACCAAAGTTGCAATACCTTGCTTGTTTTCTCACGTCACGGATGAACTGCTCCACCGGCTCCGCTTCGCCCTGCATTCTTGTACGGAAGATGTATCTTTCATACACCTCATTTCGCTGGTCGGAACACTAGTCGAACTTCTTCACCAGAGCCTTGTAGTTAGTCTTGCCATCTTCCTCGGCAAACGTGAAGCTGTTGTACACTTCCAGGGCGTCGTCTCCGGCGATGAGCAGCAGCATTGCGTCTTGGCAGCTTCCGTCCTTGTTTTTTCTGGTGCCGTGGCTTGAAGGTACAATTCAAACTGCTGCTTGAAGAGCGTCCAGTTTTTGGTAGCGTTTCCAGGCAGGAGCAGAGGGTCGGGCGGCTTCAGCAGTTCCATGACCGCGTGTCTACATTGTGGCTGCGTGAGCCACTCCTGACACCATGTGTCGTTCGGCGCTCTGTTCACAAGTCAGACCGACGCAGCCAGCTTCGATGATCAAAAAGCCCTTGGTCCTTTTATTGCCACTGCTT